CAGTTTAGTTTAATGTAAAATACCAGCTACCTAAGTGCCTGCTAAGAGCATAGAAGGAAGGAATCTTCTGGAGCTTGATATTCCAGTGGCACTTACTTTTAAAGAAGTTGAGTATATATCAGCACTGAAAGCTGAGAAAAATATAAACATTTTGTATTGTTTTGTTTTTCAAAAAAGACTACTGCCAGTATTGAAAATACAGCTTTTTCTTTCTGGTGTAGTGTTTTTCCCAGATTTGGTATTGTATTCAAGACAATAAATATGTTTTTGTCTTTGACGCGGTTTAGGTAAGGTGCACAATCCTGAGTGGAATAGAAATGAAATCCCACATAGCTGTGGGGAACTTTGTGGAAAGAAGAGACAGTGTTTGGACTGTCCACATCTTTGTAACATGTAAGTAAAAGTTTAAATCATTTCAATATTCATATGATAGAGAAAATTTCTGAAGATGTGTTTGGATATTTTTTGACTAGAGGATGTGCTTAGAAGTTTTATTTGGTTTATAGCTCAACTGAAAGCTGGAAGAAATAGAGTCTGTGTTTGTATGTCTAAAGTGAGTTCATGAGAGAATGAACAGTTCAGCAGCAATAGTTGTAGCAACGTTTCCATCAACTGAACCAGCTGCCTGGCGTGTTTTCAAGAATTTTCACTGAAGTAAAGAAATAATAGTGACTAGAAGCAATTTTAAACGTGTATCCAGTGGTCTACCAGATTTTTTGGGTGCTGGTTTTCCTGTAGTAGTGTTTGTGTATCTTAAGCTAAGCTCAGTGGTACTTGGCACCGCTTACTTCTATCTTTTCTTTCTTTCTCTTTTCATTGGCTTGTAAACTGTTGAGGATAAGCAGACATTATATGTACTAATCTATTTGTTGACACCACCAGATGGTTCAATGAGCATCCCTCATAGAGATCTAAATCAGTATGAGTAACTCTGGATTGTTTTTGCTAACATTTATTAGTATAATTCAATGAAGAGAGGCAAAGAAGAGCAATGCTATTTGCAGTTTTGGATGTTTTTCTTTAGATCTTTTTTAGCAGTGTGGTAGTATTATACTGATAAGGTTAACAGCATTAGGCGAGCTTTTCTAATGTATAAATATACTTAGTAGTCAGAAAAATAAATTTTATGTTGTTCCTGGTGTATCTAGCTTCGTTTTCCATGTATGAAAGTTGGTCCATAATGCCTGTTCATATTTCTGTTTTGAGAAATTTTTAGTAGTCAGAAGTGATTGTTTCTGCTCTTGGAACACAATCAAAAACTTCTGTCATTCCATCAAATAGATTGTCACTTTACACTTCTTCCAAGGTTTACTAAGACTCAGAACTTTACTCCAGCCTTTTTATTTACTGTGTTCTGTTTCAAACCTTTTTCAAGATCTTATTGAATGAAAGAATATTTCTTTACTCTTTAATACTTTTTCCCCACATGTGAAAATACTAAATTTCTTTTCAGACTGTCTTTTCAGTGTTGTAGCTGGTTACATAATTTCATCATCATACTGAATCCCGTTTGCTGTGGTTTGCAAGGTAAAACCGAAACATGGATCAGCTTTCAGCTACATTTGATGTAGCTGATACCCTGACTCAGAAGAACACTGATTCTCTTGGAGGCCAGCTGCTGCCTCCGTCTCAGGAGAGGCACATGTCGGTGGAGGACTTTTTTGCCCAGTCAGAAATAAGTAGATTCCTTAACTATTTTGTGAACAACCTGACTGCAGTTTGCTACCTGATGAACTTTCCTATAGTGCTGGGAAGAAGCAGATGTTCTTTTCCTCTTAATTCCTGTTCCAGTCTACAGCAGAGGCCCAGACTCTGGCATTCTCTTCTGGGAAGTCTTCTGAACAGTGGTGGCAATATTATGCCTACTGCAAGATACAAATTTGTAGTCCCTGTAGTCCCCTTTGATCTGTGTCAAGAGCTGTAAAAATTGGGATCTTTTAAAGTCACAATTGCTACCAGTTTAAGCTGTAGCAGATTTAAAAGTGTTATCTTTCAGCTGGTTCCACGTGAGTAAAACCACACTGAGAACATAGAGTCCTGGAGGTAAGGAAACAGCAAGGGTGCAGATCAAGATAATGGGTGTTTTTGGCACTTTCTGAACTGTTTCATGGTTTTTGCTTGAGTTTAGGTGATCTCAGAACTCTTTCTCTCAAGTACTTGTTTCTTTGTGGATCTGCTGTGTGCCTTTTTCCCCTGCTCTCACAGGTTGCCATAAGGTGATAAGGTTTGAACCAGAAATGCCATTTTGCTGACTGAGATCCTAAAAGCTTTTTTGTTTTTCCTCTCTCTCCCTTTCTCTCTCTCCTGGGTCAAACATTCCATGTCATTGTCAAGACCTTCTACCTCACATTATGATGGGACAGTGAATTCTCTGGGGTAAACTATTCATGTTCTTCTCAGGTGTCTGTGACTTTAGCTAATAATAGGTATGTGTCCATTGTTATGGGCAGTGGACGGAGTCTGGTGTGGTGTCTGAGTCTTGGTATAGCGTTCTTGATGTTGCCTGTTCTCCAGTATTTAATCCCATCTATTCTGGGAAACCCTTTGTGGTTCAAGTATGTAGGGCTCTCATTTGAAGTCTGGCTCCATCCTTTGTCTTCCAGTTGATCAAACCTCTGTGTCTGCGGTCTGCGTGCCTCTGACAGAGCTAATCTGGATGAATCATGTTATGAGCCCTCTTCATTGGTAGGACTTGAATTTGAGTCCTGGGGAACCTGCTTTTTGAGTTCAGGGATTCTTACTTAGCCACAAAGAAAGATAAGAAACTATTGCATCAACGGAGTATGGGAGATTCAGATGCTTATAGCTACGTCCTGCTCTTTATATCAGATTTATGCAGTGCCTAGCAACAGAACATGAATTGCAGTGTTGTCTGACTTTTCAGAAACCACACACCATGCATCTACACAGCAGCTATCTGATGTGACGCTACCAGGATCAAACAAGCATCATCCCCTTTTCTCCTCACATGTGAGGTCAGAGGAACGTTGTTGCCATTGCTTTGCATTAGGATGCTTGTATTTGCTCCCTCTTACCTTGTAGATGAACTGTGCAGGGTACAGGAGATGTTGTTAAGTAAGCTGTTGTAGTAATTCTTGGTGGTCTTCAGCCTTCCTGTGGCTGTCTGCCTTCTTTATGCATTGTGTTGTGCTGTGTGTTAGGCTTTTGCAAATGATTGTCCCCTGTGGGGTGAGCAGCTCTGAGAGCTATGTCGGATGTCAATCTTTTGGGGGTGCCAGTTGTGCTGCTTAGGTGGTTACATTATTTTTGATATAAGTTACTTGAGAGTCTGTTTTCCCTTTAAAACTTGAGTGAGCGTCAGACTCTTGTGGCTGAGGAGAAAAATTGTGGGAAAAGATTTGGATACTTTTACTGTAATGCTTTGTAAAGTGATTACTTTTATCAAGAAAACATTGAAAATATGGAGATTTTCTCCCACGCTGTTTTCCCTGAGTAGGAAATGAAACCTTCAATTAAATCAGAAGGTGGCAAATTCAGAATGCATCAAATGTGTTCGCTAGGCAGGGCACCTCCTTTCAAGAAATTGATGCAAATCATTAATAAGATTCAAAAGAGAACACATCCTGATACAGGTAATAAGAATGTGTACAGCTCTCAGCATTGCATAGATGCTTTTGGACAGGATATTAAAGCTCATACCCTGGTTAAGAGAGACTAAGATGACAGCCCGGTTCAGGCAAGGAATGTTTTGTATGGGTGGGGGGGTCTAATTGGTCATGGTTTTCTACTTTTCAGTGTTAGACTGTCATTTTTGAGGCCTTTGTCTCTAAGCACTGTCTAAAATGATGTACTTAAATGTATGAGTCCTGCATATTTTCAGTTTGAATCAGAGCTATGTTTCCTTACGTTTTGTGACCCTGGTGGTTATGGCTTTCAAATTATTTGGTATGTCTTTTACACTTGTAAGGAATGTCTGAAATTGGTGTTGAGATTTAGAAAAGGAGGTTACAGAGATACAACAATTCTTCAGCCTGCTGTTGCCTGTAACAGGCTGATGTGGTTTGGGTTGGACTGGCCGCTGAAACGACAGATGCTCTCCCCCACCTCTCTCTCCAAGGAGGGGAGGCAGAGAGAGAAAGAGGCTTACGGGTTTAAGAAAAAAAATCCTAAACTACTACACTGAAAATATTCCTGAAATAATAATATTCAAAAAAATATATACAATATATACAAAACTGTATCAAGCTCCCAGGATGACTTGCATCACCGACAGGCACTGGGGAAGTCTCAGACTGGACCCAGCAACAGATGGGAGCCAGTTTCCAGAACTGGATGTAGGAATGTATGGATCAGGATCAGAGGCAGACGAACACACAGAGTCCTCCTTGGATACCGGTCACTGAAGAAAGAGAGCTGACCCTTTGATCCCTGAGGTTTTATACTGATGCAGATGGGATGGCATACTCTGTTGGTCAGGTTTGGGTCACCTCTCCTGTCTGCTCCTCCCCACAGGAGCAACCTCTCGACACTCTTCTGCTTCTGACCCTCCAGCGGGGCAGACAACAAAGTTTGCTGACCTTGTTTGTGACAGCAATAAGTACAAGCAAGAGTCTTTCTGCATACCATTCCTTAGTGTAA